CATAAATAAATAATTTTATCAGATATCTATGAACAAAAAAATCTTACTAATTATAAAAATTATAATATTGTTTGAAGTGTAAGTAGTAATTTAGTAATTGAGATAATGATTAAGTTAGATTATAATTAAAAGTACCAACAACTTCTTTTAGATTTCATCCCATGAATTTTAAGATTTCCTCTAAATATTACTCAGATAGCATGCTTAATTAAGATACTATCTTAAGTCTGTCTCTATAATGTGAAGGTAATGTATTCGACCATGATTTAATAAGTGGTTATAAATCTAAAGGAGACAGATTCCAGAGAAACCGTACCACATCTTCTAACAGTGATAGATGTCTTCGACTTCAAACATCAAAGTCATTCATAGTCATAGATGGAGTCAAAGTCTATATTTTTTTATGCTTAGTTCAAACATATTTTCTTATTGTGATCTAATACAGTATTAATAGATTCAATCCATTTAGCATCGACAGGACTATCAAACATAATCCAATTTCTTTCAGTTGTTTAATCTTTACATATTTCTCTTATAGTATAAGCAAATATTCCATCATTCCTTATGATAGTCACATTGTAATAGACTTAGAATACAAGATGTGAACCAAAAAGAATCAATAATTATTATGCAATAACTGATAAGACTTCGATATTGATACGATTAAATTCATCAAAACAGACCCATGCTCAAGCACTTGTTAATCCTTTAAAGAATTTACCTACCTTAAAATACTCCATTTAATCTAAACAATTAAAACAACACATTATTTTGCTATAGCTGTAGCTGAATCTTTGGTTGATTCTGTTAATCCTGTACCTGCAAGTCTTGCTGATTGCACCACCACCCAAATTCAATTTTAATGCTCCAATAAGTGTCATATAAAATTTATCAGTATAAATAATGCGTCTTTTTTTAACAAACTAAACAAAAATGTCGAATAAAATTTATAAATTATTTTTAATAGAGTTTGGAATTAATGTTCGAAAAGGATGACATTTTAGCATTTTAGTTGATAACATTTATGTTAAAACAGTTGAAAGTATTGGAGAAGGGGCATAAGGTATATAAAGGAGTAAAAACTGATGGTATCCATGTGGCTTTAAAATGGTAAAAGAAAATAAGTGAACATGAAAAAAACAATATTGTAGTCATTAAAAGAAAAAAGAAACCATATAATATAAGTTTTTGCATATAAAGAAAAAAAATGTGTTTTTCTTGTAATGGAACTTGGAGATACAACTAATTTAAAAATGTTGCCTGATAAAAGGAAGACTTGCTTGGAAGTAAATATGTTTTCTTATTTTAGATGGCTAAAGGTGTTTTTGAATTACATCAATTAAGATTTTTTCATAGAGATTTGAAACCAAATAATTTTGTTGTAAGAAAAGATGAGAAAATCAAATTGATAGATTTTGGAATCGCCAAAACTATTGCTGAGGAATTTCAAACTTAAGGTAAAGGAAAATATGTATATATGGCACCTGAAGTCTATTTCAAAAATGTTTATGATGATATATTATGAGCTTTTTACAATTAAAATGTTTTTTGAAAATGCGTAAAATTATAATGAAAATTATAAAATACAACAAATTCAAATAAATAACAAAATAAGAGAATAGACAAATTTAGAATAATGGTAAAAAGTATTATTAGAAAAATTGATTATTCAAAGATTAGATGGCCAAAGATTTTTAGTTTCATCTAGAAAAAGAATAAACATTGGTAAGGTAATTAACGAACTTGAGTAATTAAAAAATTTAGGATAAATATAATAAGGATAAATTAATTAAAAGAAGGATGATTTATATGAGATTTTAGCATCCTTAACATAAATTGATGTAAAAATATTTGGGGAGATAATTGAAAGGATGAAAAAACAACAAAAATCTAAAAATCTGATATTGTTGATTTTATTTCAAAGGCAAAAAACATAAATCTTCATGAATAAAGTTTAATAAATGTTGTTAGAAATATTTAGTAACATGAGTTTAATAAAAATAACTACTCAATAGAAAATTATGATTAAAAAATAGAATTAATTAATAAAATAAAAAAAGAAGAAAAAAATTGTCTAATTTCTAAAATTTTTAGTTCTTCTAACTTCTACAGATAATCAATTCATTTAATGTGGATCTAATTC